AACCTGTCTGGGTTGGGCAATGGCCTTTGACAAAAGAGAAGCTACAAGCTTTAAAACAGCTAGTTCAGGAGCAGTTAAATACTCAACACACTGAAGAATCTACCAGCCCTTGGAATTCTCCTGTATTTGTTATTAAAAAGAAATCTGATAAACAGAGACTGCTGACAGATCTGAGAGCCATAAATAAAGTAATTCAGCCTGTTGTCTCCCAACAGAATGGGATGCCCTTGCCCTCTCTGCTACCCAAAGAATGGCCTATTATAGTTATTGACTTAAAAAATTGTTTCTTCACCATACCTCTATAAGAAAAGGATAGAGAAAAATTTGCCTTCATAGTATGTACCTATAATAATTTCCATCCAGTCAAGAGATATCAATGGAAGATCCTCCCACAGGGAATGTTAAATAGCCCTACCTTGTGCCAATATTTTGTGCAAATACGGCTGGAAATAATTCATGCAAAATTTCCACAATCTATAATTTACAATTATATCGATGATATCTTATTAACTGATCCAAAGTTAGGTACCTTAGAAAGCATGTTTGAAGAAGTAAAGAAAGTTTTGCCTTGCTAAGGATTACAAATTACTCTTGAAAACAGGAGATTCTATTAAATACTTAAGATATAAGATAGAGATACAAAAAATTAGACCCCAAAAGGTACAACTCAGGAGAGACTGATTGCAGGCTCAATGATTTTCAAAAATTGCTAAAAAGCATTTCCAACTTACAGACTACCATTGGGATACCTAAAGATGGACTAGTAAATTTGGTCAATACCCTAAAAGGGGACAAGGACTTAAATAGTCCAAGAGAATTTTCAGCTGAAGCTGAGAAGGAATAAGTTCTAATAGAAAAGAAGAAATGAGAAGCAAATGTGGATCATGTGACTCCACAACTTAACTGTATTTTAGTCATATTCCCTTCTAGACAACCCCTCACGGGGATTTTGATGTAAAGGGAAGATAGACCTAAGATATGAACATGTCAAAGCATCAAAACAGGGACCTGATCAGGACATGTTCACATACGGGACTTTCTTCAATTAAAGGCTTAATGTGATATAAGTCACAGAAACGATATTTTAGAGAGGTATCTAAAACTGACAGAAATCACCTAATTGCAACCCACAAGCCACTCTGCAGAAGTTGTTTATTAGCTTGCAGCTTTGTGTTTTCTAATCAAGATTAGGAATTGAATTTCATATCATACTCATGTTTTCTTTTTAATAAGCTGAGGTCACATCCTTGTGGAGGAGAATCTCATGGGAGTTCAGCAACTGCTCTCTTCGTTACAGAAGGCTTTGCAAACTGCCTTCTTGTTTTACTCATTGTCTTAGTTTCATTTCCTGTAGCTGTAATTTAAAAAATACCCTGACAAAGGCAATTTAGAGAAGAAAGAGCCTATTTTAGCTCATAATTCCAGGTTAAGACCATCATTGGAGAAGCCTGAAGCAGCCGGTCACATCTAGTTGAAGGCAGAGAAAGAATAAACACATGCATACTGGCTGCAGCTCAGTTCTTTTTCTACTCTTACATAGTCCAGAATAGTCCCTATCAAGAGAATGGTGGCATAAAAACCTCCCCACTGATTAACATAATCCCTCACAGATTTGGACAATCCCTTATCAAGACTCTTTCTAGGTAAATCTGAATTGTGTCAAGATGATATGAAAAAGTTAGCATCACACTCATATTCATTTATATGTCTAATCTGACTCCTATAATCAAGTCAGCTCAAACCCCTTTTTTTTTACCTACAAACAAATTTTATTAGTGAAAGAAATGTTAATGGAGGGTATTATTACTGGCCAGAGAGAGCATCATTGGGTTCACTTTTTTTAATTCCATTTAGTTATCATTCATTCAACAGGAAGATGCAGAATATAAGACTAATGCAAAATTCTAGGATCAAATCAAAGAATAAATAGTTGGGGCTCTTTTTTTTCATTGAAGTCGTATTCAGTTATAGAGCTGGAGGAGTTACCAGGATAATAGAGAGAGTTGATGACAAAATACTGATAAATTTTAAACAAATTCTAAAGAATATTAATTACATAAAGGACCTCAAAAGATGGGAGATTTAAACAGTTAGGAGAGGTCAACAATGCAACTGTATAAAATTTATGGCTGAGAAGTGAAGTTAAATGAAAATACAAAGATCATTTTATGAAGTAGCAAATATCTGATGACATTTAAGAAGGCACTTAGAATAGATAGGTACAGAGGTGGAAGAACGTTACAGAGTTGGATGAAGAGATGGCAGAACATAGGCAAAAATTAATTCTTGGTACCAAAAGTATGCTAGAACTTAGTTAAATTGCCCCCCCAAAGAATACTTGCTATATAAGAACCTCTTGTTACTTGCCGGAATTATATGAATAGAAGGGACTTTATGAGGCCCCACCCTTCCTAAGGAGCTATGGACAAAGATATCACACACTGATTAAAGGATACAGAGAAATAAACTTGGAACTGAATGAGAAACTTTTCCTGTTGGCTAGCATCCATAGTACCTTAGGGTACTATGAAGCTGCATGGGGGAAAATGCCTATCAGTAATTTCACCCAGCTATAGTCATGCTTGCTGCAATATCAACCTACCAGGTAAGACATTCCCACTGGTGCAATCGTGCCACAACCACATTGGGGGTAACCAACTGCTTTGCCATTGGATTGGAGGTCCGTTCCATTGGAGTAATACACATCTGGTGCTGTAAACCTAGTCAAAGCCTCAAGTTGAGAAGGTCATAGGCCCTAGAAAGGAAAACACTACTATGTTCCTTTATATGGACATGTTGTGAAGTTTTCTTCTAAATTTTTATATTTATATCCACAGACTACTGCTACCATCAGCCTGGGGCAAAGAAGTCCCTTTTTGCACAGGGTTACAATGTATGAACTTCTATCTGGTAAAGGTGCTGAGAATAAATGGCCATTGGGTGCTCAGTCCTAACTGGAACATCTATATTGTTCCCCCATCAAAGACTCAGGGAATAGGGTGGAAGAGGAGGTGGAAAGAACATCCAGAGGATAGGGAAGACTTGCCATGAATCACTACCACCCAGAGACTACTCAGCAATTGGAACCAGGAACACACAAAAGCAAGGAATACCTGTACAAGACAATGCCTTAAACATCTTATCATGGATAGAGGGGAATCATGAGGCCCCACCCTTCCCAAGGAGCTAGTGACTGTTAACTATTGCTACAGGAGGGGGAATCATTTTATTTAATGAGTATCCATTTTGGGGAGACAAATTAGGAAGAAGGGATTTAGAGGAAAAAGAAGGTACATAAAAGAGGGCAATGAGGGATAAATATATAATTTCAATATACCATATATATGTATATATATACATATCTACAAATACATACATATACATGAAAATAAAATCTTTTCTTCAAAGAGGATAGAAAGAATGCAACTTGGAGTTTATTAACACAAATTCTGATATCAGAACAAAACGTGGTGAAATGTTCACAGCATTGTACTTTCTAGGAAGGTATTTTCAACTATGAAAGTCATCTGTCTTTGGCACCTGATCCCAGTGACAATAAACTACAAAAGACCATCTTTTTTATTCCCAATCATGACTTATTTTTTAGCATTTGACTTGTGATTTCAGTTGCAAATGATTAGAAAGTTTCTAGGGTTTTTGTCTCCTTTGTGTGTGCCATTTTTTGTTTGTTTGTTTGTTTGTTATTTTGGATTTCTTTGTGGAAATAACACTGTTTTCCACAGAAGCAGGTGATCTTTGCACCACTGACATTATGCAGCATCATTCTCTATAGAGCCCGACATGCATTAAATAATCAAGGGAAGACAGATCAAGTTTTGTGGGCTTCGGTTTCAGTCTAGGGATACAATGCTCACTGCATCCTCTCAGGGACCCACTGTACATGCTTTCTTCCAGTTTTGAAATTGGGAAAAATCTAATGACAAATGCGTATTCACCATATAAGGAGCAAACAAGCCCAGTAAAAGATAAATAGAAAGTTAGTGTAGTTCATTCTTAAGTTTCCTGTGGTGATACAGCCCGACTTAGATGACTACAGAGAGACCCTGGTTTCATTACTGTAGCTGTGAAATGAGAAGCAGAATAAAACCTGCCATCTGACTGTGATATTAAAATAAAAATTGCTTCAGCAATTTTTACAGTACTTTTAGATGAATGCTTATAATTTTAAAATGAAATCAGAGTAAATTCTATCCCACTGCTATAGAAACTAAAACAAATTTTTAGTTGGCTCTTCTTCAAGTTCTGCAGACACATATGGCACTAAAATCTCAAAAGCCTCATCTTTATTTATTGATAAGGAAATATGTTGCTTATCAGAAGACAGAGGTCTTCCAAATACATTTGTCATACATTCTGTATAATGCGTATCACAAAACCAACTTGGCTTCCCTTCCGTATGATTTGGGAAGAACTCTCAGTTCCTGCCAAGTTCCCAAAAGCTGAATTGAAAAAGCAAAGTTGCAGTCATCTTAAAGTATAGCTCCACTAACCCAGTCTTCAGAGCTTTCCCACAGTGGATTCAGGTGTGTGTGTCTCCATCTCCAACACAGTAACAGCAGTGACAACAGTTACCAGAGGTGACCATCCTCCTGGGAAAGCGTCACTGCTGACCCATTGTTGTACAGGTTTAAAGATTTCGAATTCTTTAGTCAGTCACCTTACTCTGATTCCAAGGAAAAGTGTTAAGGTTACAAGTCCTAGTCTTTTTGTTTGAGTTATACAGAGAGACTTGACTTAAGGAACACAAAGCTGAAACATGTTCTGATTAAGATCACATGTGTATATTAGAAGTTTACTCAATCCCACAGCCCATATAGACAGATCACAAGTCCAGTTGGAACTTAGTGAATGCAACAGCCAAAGGTCTGTGTCTGGTATTAGTGTGGGCCCAACAACATGGGTCTATTTTACTAGAAGCTCAACTTTTCCATAAATTGTATGTTACATAAAGAAAAACTGTGCACATGTGATCCACTTACCCCTGCAAGGCTTTCTCTCCAAACCAGTCTCTCCCTTTCCTAACGTTCTAAGAAAGACTGGGTCTTCACTTGGTGAGTCTTCTCGAGTAACATTCACCTACAAAGAGAGACAAGCATCTAAATCAACTGCATGATTGCAAATGCCATGCTTTCCAAAGAATTTATTGTAAATATTTCATCTCCTTTTAAAAACACAACGCATTGTTAAGAAATAAGAACTTCACTTAATCTTCATTGCTACTCTTGATGATATTATCTTCAATAAAGCAACCAGTTTGATGAATTTAATGATTATTCTGTCAATGTTTTCCTTTGTTTTTCAATCGTGTTTCCTTGTTGTTTGGGGAAAATACAATTACTCTAAGTAGTACCTTTGCATTCATTCACTTCTTCAAGATGTAGTAATAAAAATAATACTCCTTGCCATCCAGCAAGGTTAAATAGTTAAAATTCACCTACCTGAAAGAGGCAATGAAGTAGAAAACTAATTTATTGAGACAATGCCAAGCACTTAAACACATTAAAAACAGCATGCTTTAGGCTTCTCAATCTAGACACTGGATGTCAATGACCAGAACTTTTATTACTACTAGGAAGGTTTGTGCAAGGTAGAGGGAATTCAATTATCATTCTCCACTGATCCATTTGATTACTCTTCTACATGGTGTTTCAAACCATGAAAATTCAGTTTTAACTGTCAGTTACCACTAAGCTATATCATAGAGATACTAATTTGCATGTTGATGAGGCTTTTATAGATGAAGAAGTTGCAGTGGGGAGTCTTATTTAAAGTAGAAGTTACTGGTTCCATGCTCTCAGGGGTTCTGATTCATTCATGTTAATATAAGTAGCTCAAATTCATTTCCTCTATTTGCATAGTATCCTATTACATAAATAATGTACAGTTTAGCAATTCCCTAGATGGTTTTATTCTTATATGTTGTTACTATGATATTATTAACAAAGTTTCTACAATATTCCTGTACTTGTTTTCTGGCACCCATGAGTAAGGGTTTCAGTAGGGTCAGTGCTCACAAAAATAAGAACAAGTGCAGACTAAACATATTTAGTTTTTCAGATGTTGACTCTGAGCACAAACACCTACTTTCACCACCCATGAATGGAAGTTCATATATATTGTGCTGTCATTAGCACTTATCATTGTAGGGTTGATAGTGTTCTAGGAAGGTTGGCATTAGAGAGCATTGTCCTGAAGCTAACAGAGGAGGAACAATTTTTGTCAGATTATATTTGGTTTGGATGATTACATCCAATTATCCTTTTTGACTAATTTCCTATTGGATTGCCTTGCTGTAAACATTAATGGACATGTTTTTGTAAGAACTACATTTTCATTCCTCTAGAATAAATAAAGTATAAGGTTGCTGGATCATATGGTAAACATTTATTAACTTTTTAAGAAGCAGCCAAGTTGTTTCTCAGAATATTTTAATTTTGCAGTCTTAGCCAATTATGTCTTAGAATTCTACTTGCTTCACTATTCACTAGGATTTGGGACAGTCAACATTTAGACACTATTAAGCATGTAGTCGTGTCGTGGGTTCATTGCTAAGATTTACTTTTTATTCATTCTTGATGTGTGTCAGGAAGTGGGTATGTGGGGGTGGGGGGCATGTGCAAGTGAGAGCAGGTGACTGTAGAAGTCAGAGGCGTAGAATCCCTTAAAGATGAAATTATAGAAAGCCACCTGATGTGCCATGGGTACTGGGTACCAATCGTGTCCACTCTGGGAACAGTATGCTCTCTTGACAACTGTGCCATCTCCCCAGCCCCATATTTCAGGGCTTTAATTTGAAATTTAATAATCCTGTTCAATTTTGGAACATTTCATTTACAGAGAGATAGGGTGCAACACTGTTGGGGTTATTTGCAGAATTCTCTAATGCTTCCTCCCTCTGTTCAAAACGCCATGTTCCCAGAGAACAGGAATCTACCAACTAAAAAACAGAGAATGAATTTACTTTCTAAGTTAGAAACTGCTGTTGCAAGCATTGAACTCCAAGTTTTAGAAAAATAACTGTAAATTTCCATTAAGAGGAAAAACAAGTTTTTAAAAGTTTATATTATGTTTCTCTTTTGTGTGCATGCATTTAAAGGAAGAATAAAACATGGTTTACAGTTAGATGAATAGAGCTGAACAAGAAGAAATCTGTGTGTTGCTCTGAAGCCACTGTTGTGCACCTCCTCCTAGTTCACAGAATTAAACACACACACACACACACACACACACACACACACACACACACACACACACATATATATATATATATATATATATATATATATATATATATTTTCTGTTCATCACTGTGGTGGTTTGAATATGAATGGCCCCTATAGACTCGTTTATTTGGGTACCCGATCTCTAACTGGTGGAATTTTTTGGGAAGGATTAGAAGGTGTGATATTGTTGGAGGAGATGTATCCCTGGGACCCAGCCTGGAGGTTTCAGACTTGGGCAATTCCTAATGTCTCTTGATTTCTCTGCCTCTGACTTTCAGGTGAGCCTGTAAGCTCTCAGCAGTTCCTACTACCATGCATTTGATCTGCCATCATGGAGCCTAACCCTCTGAAACCATAAGTCCCAAATTAAGTGTTTTCTTTCATTAGTTACCTTGGCCATACTGTTTTATCACAGCAATAGATAAGTAACTAAGACAAGTGTTGACAAAGAAAGAATATTTTATGAAGGCTCAGTGAATAGAGGAGCCTGATGACCTGGGTTCAATGTGACCCTCATCATGGAAGGAAAGAACAAACTCCTGCAAACTGTCTTCTGACCCACACCCTACACCACACACACACACACACACACACACACACACACACACACACACACACACACACACAGAGTGATACATGCATCCCCACTGAAACACGCACTCACACAAAATAAATAAAAATCCAGTAGTATGTTTTGGAAAAATTCTTTACCAGGGTTGCATTTTCTAAATTTCATAAATGCATGGGATAAAACTGCACTGGTTTATCTACAATAAATAAATTTTATAATGAGTTTATTTACAATTTTAATTTTATAACTTAATTATTTTGGAACCACTATTTTCTTTCCTATTCCATACAGTGGAGACAAGTGTGCACACCTTCTGCTTCTTACACTGATTTTAATGTATTTTTATTAGAATTAATATAATGAATGTAACAATTGTCAGAGTTGTGAATCATAGCAACTAACTTGATGACCTGAGAAACTAAGAAAAATTCCATAGCTGGTTTATAGAAAAACTTGACTGTGTCAAAGAAGTCTAATATACTATGACTATTTCTCTCTTAAAATTCTAACATTGCACCAAAATGCTGCCAGAGTAATTGGCTCATGTGGTGTAATTTCCAAGTGCTTCTATTTATACATATTACAGAACACATGAAACAGTACCACTAACCCACCTGTTTCCCAACTAAAATGGGTTACAATCCTCTTGCTTCAGGCAATGCTGGCAATTTGCAGTAAATGGGACAGTTATAAATGACTGCAGGGTGTCCTTCCTCATGGTTAAGCATAGCTACTCCTTAGCAGCAAAGAATTAGAATTTGGAAAGGTAACAAAGCCTGACTCCAGGATACACTGTCTTCCTGTGATCATCTAGTGCTTTATAAGCAGGAGTATTTTCTTTCCCTGATTCTTTAATTGGGGTTAGTTAGCAAAGAAGACAGTAAGTGACCAAGTTGGCAAGTTTGTTATGTAAATAACAGCATATTAGAATTTCCTGGCCCCTGACATAGGAAAATGCAAAACACAATTTTAAACATAACTGTGTTTGAATATGTCATTTCATTATTCCCTCCATTTAAAAAAAAAACACATTATTTATTTATTTATTTTGTGTGCATGTGTGCACGTAGGAGGACATGCATATGCCACAGTTCCAAAGTGTCCAAGTGGAAATCAGAGGACAACTTGCAGAAGTTGATTTTATCTTTCTACCATGTGGGTCCTGGGTATTGAACTCAGGTCCTTAGGCCTGGTTGCAAGCACCTTTTTCTGTTGAACCCTCTTCACACGCCCCTTCTGATGTCCTTTATGAAACTAGTCCATGATGTGTATTTCTAACCCATACTTCCACATACCAACCAAATGAATAGATATAATTAAAATGTATAAGATTTGTGTATTTTATTATGGCATGTCGTTGCTGTAAACATTGAGTTATGTGTAATCTTGATCCAAAAATATTACACTAGAATCACCTAAAATTTGTCAATAAAATTTAGTCTTCTACACTTGCTATTTATAGTATTTCTGCAAGCCTTCTGTTATATGTTCTATGGTACCAAATTTTGTCATTTTGTACAATATTTAAGAAATAAGTTCACTTATATAATAATGGAACAGGCATGTAAGTCTTTTCTACCTGTCTTTCTGTCCCTATCTCACATTGAACCTGATACACACAAAAAAAGAAACTCCCTTTAAGTAAAACTTACAGTGAAATGTTAAGTTCAAGTGTTTGGGTAATATGAAGTTAGAGAATTGGTCTAAATTTACTACCTAATTTCATAGTTCAGAAATAAATATTATAACAGATTCAAATTGATTTAAAACTAAAATTATATAAGAACACAGTATGTATTTCTATTCATAACAAAGGTCATACCAGTTTTTACCCCTCCTCCTATATTTTACCACTTTTAATAGCTTCTTGGCATTCAATTAACAGTCCCCATGAAGCTACAATAGAACATCCATATCCTTTAGAACATCAAGTCATTGGCCTAAAAGGGGTAAAATAAGTTAATTTTAGAGAATATTCAAATTGGGGCCATCTGACTCTAAACCCAAATATTTCATTATATGAAGATCCTTGTTTTTTTAATTAAGAAATGTTTTATTCATTTTATACACCAACCACAGACCCCCCTCTCTTCCTTCCTCCCAACTCCCTCCAGCCTTCCCTCCCCCAATTCACCCCCTATTCCCTCCTCAGACAAGGTAAGGCTTCCCATGGGGAGTCAGCAGAGCCTGGTACATTCAGTTGAGGCAGGTCCAGGTCCCTCCCCCTGCATCAAGACTGTTCAAGGTGTCCCCTCCCATAGGTAGTGGACTCAAAAAAGCCAGCTCATGCACCAGGGATGGATCCTGATCCTACTGCCAGGGGGCCCCTTAGACAGATCAAGCTACACAACTGTCTCACTTATGCAGAGGGCCCAGTTCAGTTCCATGGAGGCTCCATAGCTGTTGGTCTAAAGTTCATGTGTTCCCACTAGCTTGGTTTAGTTGTCTCTGTAGATTTCACCATCATAATCTTGATGTGCTATTCTTAAAGACTAGACAGATTTAAGTATTGTATGTATAGCTTTGCTGATGGATGTCTTTTTGTTTCTGCAGACTTAGCAATAACATCTAGTGTCATGGTTATTAATTTCCAGAAGGCTACATGCCTTCTTTTCTTGCATCCTATTTTTGAAGCTCCATTCTCAGATAAAGAAGGGGCAACTCACTCAGCACAATCCTCAGCACATGCATTCTTGCAATGCATTGCTTAAGCTTACCTTTCCTTTGCTGATGATAAAGAAGGTGTCTCCTCTTGCACCCTGCCTGATAATATATTCTCCGTTTTCATAGTGGGTCTGAAAAATAGGAACAATAACACAAAAATAAGACATCAAGAAAGGAATTATGTACCAAACAGAACACGTTTTCAAACACTAGGCCCTAGGAATGCATTCATGCTGACAGAATTTTACCCATGTTCAGAATGTATCGTGGTCTAAGAATGAGTAACAGTCAACCCAGGAGTGACTATCGTAGAACCTGTGGTGAGTGTCATTTTCTTCAGTGATTATATGTGTATCTTTAAGTTCATTATTTCAATTGTTTGACAAAACTTGTTTCTCTGATCAACTAAGCATGAGTGAAGTAAAACAGCACTGTTAACTAAGGTCATATTGGGGTATTATTTTGTCATTTTCATTTGTTTTTAGTAGTTCCATGATAGAAGCCTTTAAAAAATAAAAAAATTACTGACATTCAAAGATCCTCACTTGAATCCAGAGTATCCTTTAGTGGGGGGGGGGGGGTTAGAGGTCTCTAAATATATTTTAAGGTGCCACTTCATCCCTTAATATCCTTACTTGAGCAATTTACATTTGGCCTCATTAAACAGAACGTTTTAATTTTGTGGTCTGAGTTCTGGTCCAGGATCTTCCTAGCATAAACTACCAGATGGGGAGGGAAGTAAGGCTGGAAGAGAATTATCACAGTCAGTGGGTCAGCATCCTGAGGAGGACCTCACCTCTAGGTCTGTTCCCAGAGTGAAGATTGCTCCTGCAGTGAACAAAACTAATTCCATAAGGAGAGGTGGGAGAAAATTTATTGCTTGGTCAGGAGGCAAATTGAGTCCACGCCATCTGGCCTTATGCTCCTCTGCAGCTTAACAAGGGAGCCATTGGAAAGGAAGATATTACCTTGCACACTGCTTGATGGCACACACAAAATATCCATTAGACTGGTGGCTGCAATTCCTCCTTGTGCACAACACTATTTTTCTTAATGGCTATTCTATTCTGTCTTAAAGTTGTCTTCCATTAACACTTTCCATTGAAAGACACCATTCTTCTCTCTAAGCACCTAGAACATCAACACAGTACCTAAGCTGGCACTTACTAGTTCTCACACAGACATAATTTATTTTCCTAGTAACAAGTATTTTAAGTAACGAAGTTCCTCCTTATTCCTTCTCCCAGTCTAAACTAACAGATGGCACAAACAGTCTGGTATGTGCCTTTAAAGACTATTTTCCTATGTTCACACACACATTATATATATATATATATATATATATATATATATATATATATATATATATATATATATATACACATACATACATACATACATACAAATAATTGTCTCTGGGGTTGGAGAGATGGCTTAGTGGTTAAAAGTGTACATGGAGCTTGCAGAACCTGGTTTGATCTGCAGTACCCAGATCAGGTGGTCACAATCACTAGCTCCAGGGGCATCCAACCATCTCTCCTCTGCAGATACCTGCAGATGAAAATGTACACACTCACACACAGACATGCAATTAAAAAGAAAATAAAATTTTAAAATCTTTTTTAAATTTTCTAAGTAAAATTAGAAGATATATATAAACTGGTTTCTCCATTTAATAAAATCATTGTTTTAGTTTTCATCTCTTGGTGTTCTCTGTTGCTTCTCCAGGGAAGGCTCTTCATCCAAACAGGGAAAGCATGATCTTGTCTGTACTTCAATGGCATGATAGGAAATTTTGATCCATTATATTGTACAGTTTGGGAAGTCTGTTCATCTCTCACAGCTAACAAATATCCCCTAATCCAAACTCTATTAGTAAGAATGGTAAAAACATCTTACCGACACTTATTGCAAACTTCAACTTTTTTCTCACTTAGTTTTTAACAAAAAGTGAACCAAAACCCTCAAAGTAGCACAGGATGTATAATGCCATGTCAGACATAAGTATAAGGCTGCACAAAACCTGTGTTAGAAAAACATCTCAAAAGGAGGCTTCAGCTCCAACTGGAGGATCAGAACAAGACTTCTGGATGTTTAAGCAGGAAAGAGCCACTTAGGAATATGACAGCTCACCGCCCATGATAGTTATGTAAGACTAGTCAAACTGTATTTTGGGAAAAAATGCAAATGATAGGCACAAACTCTGAAGAATTCTTTACCTGAGATATTCTTCTTGTCTCTCCTTTTAAGACACATAGTTGTCAATGGGATGGATATTTTTCATATTTAAGCAATTTGCATCTTGTATTACTTCAATAATTTTCCTCTCAATTAAACAAAACATATCCTTATCCACAGGAGAGTTGTTGCCTCTCAGCAGGTAAACATGATTCATAACACGTCAAAAAATAAACCCAAGTAATGTAGCACTACTGAAATTTCCAGATAGAAGATTCTTTTCCACAGGTCCTGAATACCTTGTGCTGACATGGGGCATCTGACTGCATCTTTGGCATCTATTGGCCGGACACCGGCAGCACCTTAGTCCCAGTAGTACAGGCAAAGAATCTCCAGACACACCCATTATTGCATTGGAAGAACATCTGTCCTCAGTTGAGAATAGCCACTATCAGTCTTTTGCATTCAGAATCTCTTCATTTGAGTGAGTCAGGAGTTTGGCAGGAGTGTCCAAACACAGTCCAGTTGTTAAGTTGTATGAATCATCTGAGTATCTTAATATGGTTTGATCTGGACTTCTGTTAAGGTGGTATTCACAATTGCCATATGTATTATTTGAGTTCACCTATACAGACTTTCACTGGACATGTGTTTCCAGCCCACATAAGCTCATAAAACACAGGGGTCCAGAAAGGAGCCTACTGGTTAGGGACTGAGGCATGCTAGGTTTGGAAAACATAACACCGCACTGTCACAACATGAGGAAGGTAATGACTGTGTTATCCTGAACTGTCCAGTTGCATCTGAGGAGGAGGAGGAGGCATGCTGACTATTTGAGAGTCTCTCTAATTATGTGACTCAAATGCCGGAAAATTCAGTGTTTTATAAAGACCATTTTGTAGTTCTTCCTTTTTCAAATTTCAAATTAAACCTCAGACACATATAGAACTAAGAGCGGGCAGAAACAATAATTAGGTGGTTCCCTTTAAAAATGTTTCCGTATTTAACAGAATAAAACCCAACCCCCCCATCATGGCCTATACTACTGTAAATGGTCTGCTCAGTGTTGCAGTTTCCAACTCCTTGTCACCTTTCCCACTTTGTCCCCCAACCTGCTGACTCCCCTATGTCAGTTCCTCAAACGCTCCACATCCCAGCGCTGCATCCCAGCTGGCCTCCATTCTGATGTTCTTCCCTGACCTCCCATGTGATCTTGCACATGTCATCAAACACACACACACACACACACACACACACACCAGCTAAATTATGTCTCTACTATATATGTATATGTATATATGCTTTTATAGTACATCATAATTCATCACCCTTTTTGAACTTATACTAGTAATTTACTTCTATGACAGTTCTCTCCAGAATGTGTCATACAAAGACAAGGAATGTTTCTAGTTTTGTTCAATTTGTTGATTTATCTCTCACACCTAACTCATTGCTGAGAACAGAATAGGGATTAAAAAAGTTTTAACTGGACCAACTGAGTAGATTTCCATAGTGCCCATCTTTGGCCTTGTCCATCTGGCCCAGTCACCACCTCCTATTGCATCCATCCTTATCACTATGACCAAACTGATAACAAACCGTTTGACATCACTGATGCCTAAGATATTCCAGTGGTGCATTATTGCAATGACCCCAGTAAGTACCTTACTGTGGTCTGTGACATTGACTGTGTTCTGACTCCTACTTACGGCTCCATCCTAGCTTTACCCTATCTCCATCAGTCACTCTGTTTCAGATACAGTAGCTTTGTTATTGTGCCTTGTCTGATCAGACTAGATCCTCCGGTTATAACAACCTTCCTCCTCAAGATCTTCATTCTCATGCTGTTCCTACCTCCGGAGTCTTAACATATTCCCCACTCATACTATTTGAGTTATGACATTCCACTTCCTTCATCAGGGCTCCTGGGGTTGCTACATAAAGATAGACATTAATGGGACAGACTATCAGGCCGGGCTAGATAACAGCCTCACCATCTATGCACTGAGTGACCCTGAGAACAAACAGCTCAACTTTGGCTGAACACAGTGCTGGAGCTGATTATGACACGCTCCCATGCTGCTGAAAATGGTAAGGAAGAGTGTCTCCCAGAAGTGCTGGGACCATGGAGATTTAACCTTGAAAACCAACTAGCACCTGTACCACTGGCCTGACAGGCTGGAGGAGAGGCAGAACTGCCAGACGGTGCCTCTCAGACTTGAGGTTAATACAAAGGGATGGGGGAAGGGATCTTAAAAATGGGCACAGAGCCGGGCGGGGTGGTGGCTCACGCCTTTAATCCCAGCACTCGGGAAGCAGAGGCAGGCGGATCTCTGTGAGTTCGAGGCCAGCCTGGGCTACCAAGTGAGTTCCAGGAAAGGCGCAAAGCTACACAGAGAAACCCTGTCTCGAAAAACCAAAAAAAAAAAAAAAAAAAAAAAAAAAAAAAGGGCACAGATGTATCTTATTAAAAGAATTGGTGGTGTTGTTACCATAGTGAACAGTGATTCTTTGAAGCTTTCCTGAGCATCTAATAGACTCAAAAATCTGTAACTCCATCTGGGAATAGGCTTCAATTGCCTTACTCAACTCAGCTTTCTAAAGTGATTGTGAAATCTGTTCAGGGGGCTGCAAAGAGCATCTTTTATTAATGGAATAGAAAACATTGAGTAAATCACACATAGTAAGGATAATCAAAAACTACAGAAGCTTTATGTGTGTGAATATTTACACAGATGCTAAACCCTGATGCGAACAGCAAGTGCTATTTGATTTTTCAGGTATTTTTCTTTCTTTATAAAAGAAATAGGAAAGTGAGGTAGCTTGACCTGTATATCAGATCATCTTAAGAAAATTAAATTGGTAGTAAAAATGATTACACTGGATTTTCTTTCTTTTTCTTTAGTTGTTTTACTTTGAAACGGTTCATATGAGAGGTTGGAGGATAATCAGC